TTTTTTTCCTTTTTTTTTTTTTTTTTTTTTTTTTTTTTTTTTTTTTTTTTTTGCTCGTAAAACAACAATTTGCATTAATTTATTGATAAATCAGTGTTTACGAGCCAAGAGAGCTACTCTGCTCCTTTCGTGTATACCTATACATGTACACGTTGGTATAGTAATTATGCACACTTGCATGGGAGGCGGAGCTCATTAGTCGCAAACACACGTAATATTAACGCCTATGCGAAACATTCGATAAACCATCGGCCAATTAACACATAACCGTGAGCCATACGATACTGCACGATAATATAACATATTATATATCATGTGCCACGCGACTCTCTCTCTCTCTCTCTATGCAATTTTCCAAAGATGTAACACATTATAATTGTTCAGCATCGAGTGGTTTCGCGGCGATAAGAGTGAAATTTACCAATGTACCTATAATACCGTCAAGAACAATCGCCGATTTATTGCCGATTTATTGCCACGTTCATTTCTTCACTGATTATCTACTAGGCGTTTTTTTTTCGATTACCCATATGCTACATATCCTTGTAAGAGGATAATTCGATGATGATGATGATGATTACCAGTGGCCAGTTTAAAATCTACGGGTAAAAAAGGTATACCAAAATATGTTTGTACAAATTTATAAAATATATGGAAGAGGGAGGGAGGGTAGGTACATTATAACATATTTATGGTTTATATACCAGATAAGGTACACAGTGCAGGGTATACAGTTGATATACATATAGGTATACAGTCTCTTGTGCGTGGAGTCAGTAAGTGTATAATATAACGGTGCCGAGTGACGCTCTGCTGGCTCCTTGTACCTATATATATAACCCATACCAACAGCATCATCAGCGGTTTTATCTACCTGTATATATGTATAGCGAAATAGGAGCACACGCCCCTACATAAACATACATACGTATATACTCATCCTTGTGATGTCATGTCCGCGTACAATATATCTATACGTAGTACGTGTGTTCTATATATATCCCCCTACTTTCCGATGCCATCGGCTACTGCACCACAGCATCACGAGAGATTCACGAGCCTGATTCGTAGCCATGCCGTTGCAGATCAGATGTGTACACATATATACGGTCTTTCGCGTTTTGCTTTATTTATATTCGGGAATAAGTGGTCCATACTTACACCTATAAGCGCCGATCCTTGCATTTCTCGCATAACTAATAGGTACATATAGGTATATCTACATGTTTGGTTGCATTAATACTATATACGTATACATGTAAATGTACGTGTGCAGTACTGATCTAGTTTTAGTTTTAATACTTACGCGCGCCGAATATGTGTCTCTATATATATGCACCTGATGCATAGCCTATCGAAAATCTCGGTCAAGCGGCAAAAGCTTCAAATATATATATGCATGTACCTACATAATAATGGCTGTACAATTAAGAGTCCATGTTATTTTGATATTTGCGTCCGTTGTACATATTATTACATCTGTAATGCCACACCATGAACCCACGATTTATTTTCTACTTGAGAAATTTTACTTATTTCAGATAAAGTTTCTATATACATATAACCTATATTTATATACATATAAATATTACTTCACTTCACATAAATAT